AGGATGTAAGCCTTGCTGCCTTTTACTCCATGGAAACAGCCTTCAATCACCCTGAAGGCTGAAGCGTTGGTGGTTGGAAAGGGAAGACACGAATGACATGGAAACCTCTCTGCTTCACTGAGAAAGTGCAGTGGTGTTTCTTTTGATTTTACTTCTTGGTGTTGTGCAGTTGGTCATCCCACAGCAGCCACTGAAGATTTTGTTCTGGTTTTGAGAGAAATCTGTCCCTGAAGGCATTTGGTTTTTTTCTTTTCTTGTGGTCTTTTTCCTTCCTTTTTTTTTTTTTTTGTTTCTCCCTCTTGACGCAAAATGACATACAATCTGAGCTCTGCTATCTAGGACCAGGTCTAAGGTATGCCACAATTAATAGAGGTCTAGTGTTGGACATGTTTTGGGGACAACATCCACCCCAAAGTTAAAAGTACTGTATTTTAGTTTATGCACCTTAACAAAGGTCGGTATTGTTTGCTGTAACTAATGAGAATTCTGTGCTTTCTTTTTTTTAGAAATTGTAGTTCTCAAAAAGACAGTTTTTTCATGTCTACCATACATATATGCCGGAGCTTTGCTGGCGTGAAACCAGGAGGGATGGCACACTTCATTCCCTGCGAGCCCTAATCAGCCTGGGGAACTTACACCACCACTTGCCTCAGCTTTGCTCAGAGTGTGGCAATGATGTCTTTCTGGGGTGGTAACACATATGGTGCAGTCAGTGCAGTTTAAGACATAAAGGTGTAAAGTGAGGCCCTTGACAGCTTGAAGGATTGCGTGGGGCTCTATCAGCCAGACCCTATCTGAGCGCAAACAAAAAAAATGTTGTTGACAGACAACTTTCATAAATTGCTTTGTTGAGTGTCAACTTTGCTTTATAGCACATTGTCACATGCCAGTGCTGACACTTGTGGCATAACTTGCTGGATAGTATGGCATGCTTGTCGTGCTGCTATCTTTTTATGCATTTTTTTTTCCCCCTAGTAAATTCCTGATGCCAAACTGGAGCCATGTTATCAGGTTTTGCCCTTGATGAATAGGTGAGAGGAGCTGTGTTGCATAGCATGTACTGCCAGAACAGAGCTGACATCAGAATTAAAAGCCAAACTAGGGTGAAAAAAAGTAATGTTTTAAATGTACCCATATTTCTGTGCTGTCAAGTGTTTTCTGCTGCTGGACTTCTAAGGTCCAAGTTCTATAGCAGCATCTGTTTTATTCAGAGGGCAAAAGTTTGTTGCAGATGTAGCAGTGATAACAATTACCATGGGCCAGGTGAAATGAAAACATCCTTCTTTTTTATTGTTTCCTTTTCTTGGACATTTTCTGTGCTAGATATTTGCACAATGCCATGGCAACATAGCTAGGAATGGAATTTGTCCTGCTAGTATCACAGGTAAGCTAGACAAGGCTTGTAGTCACTAAAGCATTAAACTGAGTCACAAAGCTCCCTAAATGGTTGTGACATGTGTGGCTAAAGAAAGAAACAAAAGAAACAAAACAAATCAGGACTTTGAAACTGAGCAATAACAGCAAGAAGCAATGAAGAGACTGTAGGAACTTCAAAGCAGGAAAAAAGCTCTGCGGACTTGCCTTTTCCCTGCAGATTGGGAAGAGGCAGATGGATAATCAACAAAACCCACAGCATCTCCTTTAGATAAGGCTTGAGAGAAAGCCTGCAAGGCACTTAACAAAAAAAAAAAAATGCATGACGCCCTATGTGGTACCTGCAAGCTGTGGCTGTCCCTGGGCTATCCCAGGTATCTGGAGAGCATTGGGGCACCTAGAGCCAAGCAGCTCCCAGTCAGGCACCGGTGCAGGCAGACACGGTGGAGCTGGGCTGTGCAGCCTCACTGGTTTTTGGGCTACCTTGATGGCAGGAGTCCCTGCATTACACCACAAGCTGATTTTTGTGGCTTCTTTAGCGGTCAAGAAGCACACAGTATTTCCTAAGGTATGTGGGAGGGTTTTATCATGGTTTATGCCACCATATGTGGCTCACAGTTTGCCAGGGCTAAGCAGGCAGCAAGGAAAGCCAGGACGCACTTACAACACATGGCAGAAGACCTGCTCTGAGGTAGTGCAGACCCTGGGTGTGAGCAGGATTAATTAGCTCTCATTATGGGCCAGCTCAGTGAGTGTCACATGAAGGTTATTAGCTCAAACACAATGGACCAAAGGAGCAGATTATTTTGACATTTAGGCCTGAATGTGGCATTTCCAGGGACTCTTGCAATGATTTGGCCAAAGAAAATTACCATGGCAAAAGCCCAGTGTGGGAAGTGATAAGTGAGCCACAGAATGGAAAATTAGCTCATGGCATGACTGGCTCTGATATGGCTTATAACTTTCTGGGGCATTAGGCAAAGGATCTGGCACACAAGGTCACAGCAATTTTTGGTCTCTCCTGCTGGATCTGCTTTTGATAACATCAGTGACCTTGGCAAGTTGCCCATGGCTGGGGCCAGAAGAGGCTTGCAGTATCAAGATATGCCATGGATGCTTTCTTCTGTGGTGGGTGCTGTGCTTTCCCTCCAGAAGGGCAGCTGAGAAAGGCTGAGGCTCAGCACCAAACCATGGCCTGGGTATTTGGTGGCTTGGTTAGTTCAGAGACCCGGTAGCTCAACATGTTGGTCTTGAGGCTCTCTTTCTTTGAATATGCATCTCTCCAGTGAGTAAGCAGCTCCCCTGCCCCTGTTAATTTGGGGCGCTCTTTAGTTTTTGTGAGGGAGCTGTAAGGTAGGCAATGGATTGTATCAGATGAGGCATGGGATATGATCCCAAACTGAACATGTATTACTGACCTTGCCCCAGTGCTACTGACTGGAGGCTCTGAAGGTGGCAGGAGTCACTCAGACACAACTAGGAGCCTCAGATAAACCCCGCTGCTACTCGCTGTTGGCACACAGGCACTGGTGCCCTCTGTGTCCCTACAGCATGGAGGGGCTGCCCGTAGGTGCATTAGGCAGGAGAGCCATGGTAAGAGGCTCTTTATTTCAAGGTTTCAGATTTTCTAAACACGGAAGGACATGCTTGAAATTCATTCCTTCATGCTGATCCTGGGAGCCTTCCATAACCTTGAAATTTGGCACTCTCTCCTTAGCTTTGCCCGCTTGCTCTGTGCCTGTACAGAGCTGCTCACTGAGCCCTGCCGCACACTGGTGCCAGCACATGCCGCAGGGCCGGAGGTGCCTGGGTCAGCAGTCACTTAGCAGGGAGCACGATGGCGAGCCCAGGCACTCCCTGTCTCCTGTAGCCACAGCAGCTTTGCAGCGTGTAGCTGCCAGCTGGCTGAGACATTGGCTGTGATATCAAAGAAGTCCCAAGAATTAAGATGGTATTTGGTACTTTATGTATGCTCATAATTTAAGAACGACACAAACACTCCCACCTGGCTTGTAACAGCAAGGCTTTGGGCTGTTTCCCCTCATATAAATGAGCCATTCTGACCTGTTACACACTCCAGGCCCTTGGACATTTGCTTATTCATTTTGCTTTTCACCTTTCACAAGAGTTTTATAACAATGGCCTGAGCAGCAAGAACTTCCCAGGTGCCTCAGCCAGGACAGTGCCTGTTTTTTGTAATAGTAATTGTATTGTAGCTACAATTTGCTGCTCCTGCCTGCAGACCCTGGGTGCTGGAAGATGTCAGACAGTGAAGCTAATGTGTATCAGCAAAGAAAAGGCATCTACCCATATTGCCCTGTTTCAGTACCGCCCATGGAGGTGAGGGTGTATAGTTCACCATTAACCCCCCAGACTACAAGGAGAGAAAGTGCCAGTGCAAATCCCCACTAATGCCCTAGTCACTGCAGGTGGGCTCAGCACTGAGCATCCCTCACCCCATCACCCTCTTCCTTGTCTTGCCCTGTCTATGAATTCCTTACCTCTCCAGTGGTTCTCCAGCATCTGCAGCCCTGGCACCTGTGAGACATGTACCCACACCCAGGTTGCTGCAGCATCTCAGGGGTTCGCATCTCATAACAGGCTTGGCTGTGGTAAGGCTTTGGATTAGAGGGGTTTGTAGTCTTGGCTTTGAACACGTGTAAAATGAGGTAGGTGTGGAGCCTTAACATTTAGGGAGAGCCTGGCTGCTAAAAGGCAACGGCAGCACATCCTCTCCCTGGCACAGCTGGACACGCACAACCACCCATGTTCCCCTGTAGCTGGCCCCTCCTCTGCACACCCCACCTACTCCCACCACACGCCCCTCTTCCCATTGCTGAAATCCCTGCCACCCTCTGACACAGCACATGCCTCATTGTTTCCATCTGATAGCAAGGATTTCAGTAGCGTTTCTTGCTCCGTTTTTGTATTTCAAACTAAGCAGCCATCCCTCCTTCCCTTTATCTTCTAACTCTCCCCTAATAAATATGATCACTTCATCCTGTGAGACCTGAAAACCCATTTCTGAAATTCCCCTGGCAACTAATACAGTAAAACAAGCCTATAAATATAAATAATTATGATAAAAAGGCATAAAATGCCAGACTTGGGTCAAACACACTCGCACAGTGACACTAGCAACAAATAACTGCACCGTGTTTGAATGTAGATGGAAGAAGCTGAATACCGAGTAGCTAGTTTGTTGCTCATAACTGTCAGACTCCTAATTTGGACAGGCCATATTTTATTGATAGCAGAGCAAACACAGTCATAATCCATCCCTACCGTTCCTGCTTTATGAAAAATCCCATCCATCCCCAGGGAAGCAGGGATAGAAAAAACAGTGGTGTGAACGTGAGGTGAAGGTATAAGACAGAAAGCACAGTCCCAGGCTGTGTTTCCCATGTGTTTCTCGCACATCATATGCTAAGTTCAATTTTCCAAAAGCTTTGTTTTATTTTTAAAGGTAACATCTTTATTATTATTATTGTATTTATTAGTTGTTATTATTATTATTATTATGCAGAGATGAGATTTTTTTTCCCCCTTTGATCACAGAGCAAACAGTTTGCTTTTGAAAATGTTAATGGAGTCCTGATTTAAAACATTTTTTTTCTTCACTTTTTTGTTTGTTTGTTTTTGTTTTTTAAAACGTTGCAGCAGGCAGGATCTGGGATTCGACTTCCTCGTCCTACACAAAGAAAGACTCTGGAGTTCAGACTCCTAGCCACTACCGGTAGGTCCTGCCTTGCTCAGTTGTCGTCGTCTCAGTGTGGTTTCGCCAGGTGGGGTGGGTAGGTGGGTGGGAGGGGAGGAGTTGAAAGAAGGGAGGGTATTTGTCAGCTATGTCGAGTCTTGGTTAACAACTTTGCCTCCATTCATGGTTGGTGTCCCTGAACTTTTTCTTGAGCGTCCTTGCTTTTCTCCAATTTCATGCAGCGATGGCTCTCTGTACATGCACACTGCAAACAGAAAAGACATCCATTAACAACCCTGAAGTCACAGACATTAGTGACTATAATGAATTATTTCTTTGTCTATGAGGCTGAAATTCTAGCCCCAATACAAACACACACTTCCAGAAAACCTCAGTGACCCAGCAGCAGATCCTGTTACCAAGCAGGATCTGTTACCTGCCCTAGCTGCCAGTTAGATCCTCCTTCTGTCTGTGGATTCTTCCAAAGGCACAGATAGAAATAGGGGATTTCTCACAGATTAAGCGTTTCTTGGGTTTCTGTGCTTTACTATTTTTTTCATGTTATTTTCACATATATAAAATAAACATTGCAGTTCACAGCACCACGTATTGTCTCGAGATGATGATCATCTAATAACAGGTCCAAGAATTGCCCAGTCCAACAAGAAGCCCTTGAGAGTCTTGAATCAAAACTACACTTGCATCTGAGCCATCCAAGCTGCCTGGGTGTTAAGCTTGGGATCTGGAAGTGGTGACTCAAGCCCGCTTGGCTCCTTTGCCAAAAGCCGAGGTCTGCTCTCAACGCTCCTTATTTTTCCCCCTGTAAATCAATACAGACAGCCAAGGCCGTGAGCAGACATGGGGATGAGTTCAGTGACAGCAAGCCAGGAGCCACCCCAGCTCTGCATGGTCACCTGGCAGCACCTAAGAACAGGGTGGATGGAGGGCACCTTCTCTCCAGACTCTAGCTAAGCAATGTTTTTCCTATAAAATTTATTTGCTGGAGGCTGGACAGCCTTGAGAAGGCAACATCTGCCCAAGGCATGGCCCATCCCCATGTCCTGTGCAGCATAAAGCATTTATCCAGCTCACCATGTGGACTAAGTCCTCATGGCTGTCCTCATGCCGTGTGAGGTGTGCGAGAGCAGGGGCACATGCCAAGCGGCTGTGTCTCACATCAAAGGGAGCATCTCTGAAGAGTTCATCGCAAATATGGTGGGGTGTAGATGTGATTGAAACAGTGAAGCATCTGAAGGGCAGCCACATTGGAGTTGAGAACTTAAGGTAGGTCCAGACTGCAAATGTCATGCCTGGATCTTTGCAAAAATTAGTATAGAAAGGAATGATCATGTACTGCTTCATTTTGTAAAGCTGTAGGGTCACAAACAATGGCACAGAGCTCAATCACAGGGAATAGAGCCCACCAGGTTTTGGTTCCGGGTAATCAACACGAACAAAATTTCAAAAATTATCTCAAGAAATGAAAAAAATACCCCATGTATAAAAAGGCAATGTAAGCTCTTATATTTCTAACCTTGCCTGATGTGCAAATAAATCCTGGCAATTAAAGGCAGGCTGTAAATGACTTTACTGCTCTGCATTTTACTCCTAGCTAGATACACAGTTGTAGCAGTGTGCAACAATACAGGACAGAGATAAAGTGCAGTCAACTGTGTATTAATAGGAGGGATATTCCATTGAATATATGAGCAGTGAAAAAATATTACTTTTCCCATCGAGCATTTTTCATGCAAGGCTTTCAAAGCAGTTTAAACACACACAGTAGCTGGGCCTCCCAGTGTGGCTGCAAGGCAGGTACTGCTCTGCAAACTGTTACTACTACTGGAGCCATTTTTTGTTGAAAATGAGAAAAAAAAAAGGAAATTAATTACTTGTCCCATGAGTCTGGGCCAGGATGAGCAATGCCAGGACGGCCCATCAGCTGCCTAGACTATCAACGCTGTTTGCATGCTGCAAGGAAAATGTGTAGCATAGTGGCAACAGAAGGAAAAGGGCTCTTGCACCCCCTTTCAGCTGCTGAGCTGCCTCTCATACCTTAGTGAGTGTCACTCAGCAATCTGGTGATGGTGAATTTGCCTGTTGTGGCAAAGTACCTAATAAAATCTTAAAGAACAGTATGAAAAAGTTAACAACTGAGGAAAACCTGTGCCCTTGTCATTTCTTAGCCTGAGTTGCAGAGCCTTTTGATGACACTAAGCATGCACATCACTGAATATAAGCAAACAATGTGCATTCACAGCCCAGAAAGCAAATAATTCCTGGGCTGCATCAAAAGAAGTGTGGCCAACAGGTTGAGGGAGGTGATTCTCCCCATGACTCTGCTCTCTTGAGACCCCACCTGCAGTGCTGTGTCCAGCTCTGGGGTCCCCAGCGTAAGAAAGACATGGACCTGCTTGAGCAGGTCCAGAGGAGGCCACGAAGATGATGAGGGGCTGGAGCACCTCTCCTATGAGGACACGCTGAGAGAGTTGGGGTTGTTCAGCCTGAAGAAGAGAAGGCTCCAGGGAGACCTTATATCAGCCTTCCAGTCCTTAAAGGGGAAACTTCTAGCAGCTTTGTACAGAAGCCACCCCTGTAACCCCCCCGCTACCAAAACCTTGCCACGCAGACCCGTTGCAGGGGCCGAGAGAAAAGGTGGGGAGGGACTCTTCATCAGGAAGGGTAGTGATAGGACGAGGGGTATCAGCTTCAAACTGAAAGAGGAGAGGTTTACATTAGATATTAGGAAGAAGTTCTTTACTGTGAGGGTGGTGAGACACTGGAGCAGGTTGTCCAGAAGCTGTGGCAGCCCCCTCCTGGGCAGTGTTCAAGGCCAGGCTGGATGGAGCCTTGAGTAACTTGGTCTAGTGGGAGGTGTTCCTGCCCATGGCAGGGGGTTGGACTAGATGGTCTTTAAGGTCCCTTCCAACCCAAACCAACCTATGATTCTATGATTCGTTCTGGTGTTGCCCCAGTGCCCCTGACATTCCATACACAAAGTTCTGCCTCAAGTCCAGTGTTGTCTTCATCCTGACCTCTCTGGTCCCAAGCTGGAGCTGGAGGGACTCCCATGAGCTCCTCCCCCAGGCAGAAGGTACTAAGCTCAACTCACCTGCATCTACCCCCAGTACCTCACTGTGCTGGGCCAGATGCTTAACCACAAGGGCTGAGCCCAAGCAAAGCCCACAGGAGCAGCAGTACCATGGCACGTTGACTTTTGTCAGCGTCCTGCCTATCACCATGACCTTTGTGCAAAAACGTTGAGTTGCTAACAAGGCACAAGAGTAATGAATAAAAATCAGGCTACTGAAGCAAACAACATTTGCAGCTAAAAATTAAGGAAAACCTGTACCTAGCAAGCAAATAGGGCAGGAATTACAAGTCTCTCTTCCAGTCTAGTGCATGATACAAGTACTGACATGGGGCATGGCTGGAGGATGCTTACATTGTGCTTTTCAGACAGAGCTGTCAAAGCCTCTGTACCAGACAGGCTGTGCCAACAGACCATGCCAGAAAATCTGTAGCAGCATGGGACAAGCGTATTTTCAGTATTTAGATACACTTAAAGTATCAAGTGTATGCAGTATTTATATGGCACCGTGCAAAAGATAGTGCCTGGATATTCTCCTACACAAGACGCTTGTGCACGTATGCTGAGCTATGGCCATCGTTCAGCGGCGGCTGCAAACCTGTGTGCACCATGACACACAGGGGTGTGTGCACACAGCCACACGGGTGTAGGGTTTTAAGGACACTGTGACATACTGTGCAACACTGGCTCTTGGATTGCAGTTTGTTACTCCTTGTACTGAGGAAGCTTGAGTGACTCACACACAGAGATGTTAGTCATGGACCCGGTGGGGGGGTGGGGGGAGTTGGAGTTTGTAAATGGACTGTTGTGAGTGCCCAGATCTTCCCAGCTTCAAAGTACATCTTTGTGGTTCAAGACTAGCAGCACTCACTGACAGGTCTGTTTGGGGTCCCTGTGTATGTGTGTGAAGACACACCGCCCCTGTCATTGCATCAAGGTAAACTAGCAGCAGTGTGGCAGTTGGCATGCCCAGACACTTGGGAGGTCTGCTGGTGCACATAGCACAAGGCAGCTTTGGAAGGATGAGCAATTTGGCGAGAACAAGTGTCGCCTCCCTGCTTTGCCTTGCTTCTCCCACCCACCCACACCCACACACTAAGCCAAATACAGCCCTTAATGTCTGGAAACTAAGCTAATGCTTTGGAGCTTCAATCAGATAATCAGCTCCTATGTCCCAGATTCTAATCAACACATCCATATTCATGCTTTAATTGGAAAGTGCTGGTAGCTTGATCTGCTGAAGAGCCACAGGAGTAAATGGAAGGGGGTGAGCGGCAGTGGAGCTGTGCCTATGTCTGATTCTTGCGGCTTCGGATTCCCTGCTAACCAGCAGTGGCAGCCATTCCCATGCACAAAGAAACAATTTTTGACCAAGAAACAACTCACCAATTAGGCAGGAAACAGACTGAGGGTATAAGCAAGGGGAAAGCAGGTGGCAGGGAGCATCTTTCCAACAGGCAAAGGCATGGAGGGGGTCTGCCTGTCACCAAGGAAGAGCTCTATCTCTCACCTATGCGCTGGCACAGGATCCCAGCCTCATTTCTGCTTCCCAGGATGGTACTAGCGCACCACCCACATGGGGAAACCAAAATCACCCCGTGCTGCTTCCCTGGCCATTAAGGACTGTCTGAATTTGGGAAGCACACACTATTTTGTTCCTGATGCTAGTATTTCTCACTTGGCATCGCTCCAAGTGGAGGAAGTTCAGGGGATGCAACAAACTCCATTTCCTTTCTCTAAAATACAGGGAAAAGCTTATTAAAGGACCTTAGATATATCCCATCCAGCTTCACTCCTGGCTCTCCCTGCCCCAGACCCTAGCCAGTTAGGAAGAATCAAATTTTTCCCAAGTTGCCATTTAGCAGGTAGACAGGTCATTAGCCCTGCAGGACCGCCACACGTCCCGGTGGCAGCCTAGGCCAGTGTCTGGACAGGGCTGGGCA